TGGCTGCTTTGTAATGGCAATTCAGAATCTGCTGACTATTGAGAAACTATTACTCGGATGTCCCAAAGCTTCAGTCATATGAGGTAGTTTTGGGCCAAAATGGGATTTTCATCTACTTGGAAAGAATGTATGTGTGAAATGGAGAGTCCTGGAAGCATACCCAGTGCTAAGAACCAACAGATGTCACTGCAGTGAGAGTGGTGACCAGTTCCAGGAAGGGGAAACCAAGGTGCCTGAGGTTGTCCAAGCTGGAAAGGGGGTTGAGGCTTAAACTAAACTCAGACCACCACCTTAGCGTGGGACAGGGAAGCAGAGGTGAAAGGTGGGAGTGGGCCAGGCACATGGCACAGGTGGGGTGCAAGGAAGACACCATGCGGTGGGCAGAGCTCTCCTGGGGGCTGGCGACATTGGAGGAATGGGGACGGGGCATAAAGGAGACCACCTTAAAGCTGAGGGTAAGGGCTGAGTCAGTCCTCTGGGCAGTGGGCGCCTGCCCAGGGTCTAAAACTGGAGGCCACTTTGGGCTCTCAGAGGATCTGTCTGAGTGCGGGATATGGGTGTAGAGATTAAAGGGAGGAAAGGTGAAAGGGGAGGAGACAGAGGTCGCAGTGCCTCACTGGTGTCCCCTGATGCTCAATCTTTCTCCTTCTGTCATATTTGGCAGATTCACTCAGGATGCCTTGAAGTCTCCATCTGAGAGTTTCTTAGAATTAGGCAGGAGACTGTCAGTGCCATCCAAACACAATTGCATCTTGCAATTATTTCTTGATGGTTCATATATGAGTATTCACACACACACACACACACACACACACACACACACACACACACACACACACACAACTAAGCAATTAGAAATAATTTAAAAGGAAGATGACACAATTACCACTCTCAAGTGACCTGCTTGAAGATTTGGGGAGGCGAGCTGACAGACCCCAGGCTGCTGCTTCAAGTGACAGGGGGCTGGGTCCAGGAGGTGGAATGCAATCTCTGACCTGCAGCCATCAGGGCCCTACTGAGCCCCCCAGGGACTGCACACCTGTGCCTGCACTTCACCCCACCCACCAAAGGGGCCACAAGGCAGCTTCCCAGGCCCAAACATGGAGAGCTTTCAAGGGCTGTGTCTGCAGTGAGGCCTTTCCAGGTCACAGTCACTTGGAGAGCTGGCCTCGCAGCATGACACCTCTAAGCTGGAGATCTGTGGGCCAGGCGGAGGGGCTGGCAGGCATAGCTAAAGGCTTCCTGGGAACAATGAGCATGTCTGGCTTTCACCTGCTGTTCTCTGCCCTGACAGCTGTGAGAAATGAATGAACCATGCGCTGGGCCAGAGGCAAAAGGGAGGCCGGCTCCAGACTGGGTGGCCTGCACGCACATGCCATTTGCAAACATACCCTTGGAATGTGACCAAGACTCAGGCTGGAGCCTTTTGGTGCCGGGCTCACAACATCAAACCCCAGTGCCAACCACAGCTAGAAGCTCATGTTTCCCCCAACCTGAAACCTTTCTTGTCACAGGACCTTGGGCTGAGTTCCCTCAGGTTAGACCTTGGGGCATATGCTGTCCATCCTTTGTTCTGTGGGTGGATCTCTAGGGGCAGAGGAACCACATGCACGAGGGGGAAGCATGGCTAGAGCTGTGCTTCCTGTCAAGGTCATTCCACCTGCAACAACTGCCTCTTGGCCACCCAGGAGGCAAATGCCATCAGGTGGCCTGTGACAACCAAGATTCCATGGCCTTTCCCTGCATATGCATCCTGCTCACAGGTGTCATATTCCTGATGTGTGGAACTCATCCTCTTTCTCTGTCATATTTGGCAGATTTCACCTAGGATGTGTTGTGGTCCTTGTCTTACAGGAACTTAGGCAGGATGCTATCAGTTCAGTTCAAAAATAATCACATTTTGCATTTTTTTCTCAATGCTTAATATATATGAAGCACCAAGCTAGACCATTAGGATTAACTCAAGTGCTAAAATCGGAACAATCCAGGGATCAGCATGGCCCCTTGCAAACATGACACAGATTCGTGACACAGTCTATGTTCAAATATTTGACTGACTTGATTGTGGTGATCATTTGCAGTACATACATATTTAAAATCACTACTTTGTACACCTCAAACTTACACAATGTTATATGTAAATTATATCACACAAAGCTGGAAACACAAGAAAGAATGTCAAAGGAAGTGACACAATTACCCCAATGAAGTGGCCTGCTTGAAGATGTGGAGAGGGGAGCTGACAAAGGGGCCCAAACATTCCAAGGACAGCATGAGAAATAGCACAGCTCAGGGCTCACAGACATGCAACAGAAGCCAAATGCTACCAAGGAGGGAGCATTCATCCCAGCACAGTGGCAGGAGGTCAGTATGGTCCAAAGGATGGAATCACGGGACTCCATGGGAGGTGCTGGTATCAATGGCAGAAACCAGAGTCGGCCTGCTCTGAAGAGGAGTGTGCAGAACTGCCCAAATTCCAATGAAAAGGGAGGAAAAGCAAGAGTGTAGTTCTGTCCCTGGGGGCAACAGGAAGCCCATTTTGAGAAACTTGCCCTGGCTCTATCATTCCCAAATTACCGAAGAAATGTTATTAAGATTGATTTATCATTACTGAAATAATTTGTGTTTGTGGTTGAAAATTTAGAAAATACAAATGAACAAGCAGAAGAAAATATAAACTGCCTGTATTCTTACCATGGTAATCCTTCGTCCTTGCAGTCTTATTTCTCCACATGAGCACAGTTTGGCGCAATGTTATTTGTTAAACAGCATGGATTTGGGTATGTTTCTTAGACGAGCTGTTGTTTCACATGTTTAGAGATGGCTCGGGGACAGTAATGAGTGCCCTACTTTGTAGGAGGGCTAAGAAGGGTTACCCTTTTGGAATGATGAGCATTATTTGTCACAGAATCCTTTGCATTTATTATCAAGCTGGATGTCTCCGTATAAAGAGAGAAAAGCCCTCTACCCACCATCTCCTCCGCCCCCAACACAATCGCTCAAATCATCATCCCCTCTTCTCCTTCATCTTCTATGGCTCATGGCTATGATACCAAGTAAAGGGCGAGGCATATTTTAAATACTTCTAATAACCATTCTACCTCTCATTTAACCTTTCTGGTTCAAAAATAGTGAACTCACAGGGGCACAAAGATGTAGAGAAATAGCTGTGTGCACCCAGGTATGGCCCCTGACCTCAAGAAAACGTCTGGGTTGGGAGAGGCAGTATACAGATTCAACATAATCATATAATACACAGTTGAATATGTCTAAGGGGTTGCATAAAGTAAGTGCTGGAGAGGGATTGAGAAATAATCTGGCCCTTCTCCCCCAACCATTTTTCCATTACAGATGAGGAAACTGGTTCCAGAAGCAGACTGTTCAAATGCCTCTTGCAAAACCCCAAAGTGTTGGTTTTTGAGCCCTGGTAAAATTTCTTAGCAGTTTTTGTGTCTCCTGGTTTGGGTACATATGCATCAGACACATTATTGGTGAGTTTGTAGTAGATCACTGTGACTCACCATCTTCCTCCAAAAGGCAAAATCTCTCAGAGCAAGTTAGAGGTCTCAGGACTTTCCTTGGCCCCAAACAGTTAAGTGCGGCCTGGGGTGTAAATGCGGATCCCACCAGCGTTTGGACAGGAAAAGAACTCAGAGGCTGCTTTTCTTCTCCAAGGCCAATCCCAGTGGAGTCGTCGGGGTTTTAAAACCAAATGTCTTTACAGCTTGAAATGAATAACCATGACCTCAGCCATTACACACGCAACCCCTGCTGCTATACATTTAGCATCAGGCGCTCCAGGCGTCCTCTAAATAACCCACGTCTGTGGGGCACATGCGGGGAGGGAGAGCTGCCATCAGAACCGGTTTGAGTTGGAAGGCCAGAGACTACAGCCCTGTGAAGGGTACAGTCATCTGTTAGTGATTTCCCACTCACATTAAAGCCAGATGCTGGATCCCTTTGCCTGGTTGCAGACTGTCATAAGAGATTTATCTTTATAGCTTGGACTCGGGTCTCTGAACCACATCAATTTCAGACCTTTGTGTTACCATGGCAGGTGTGACATGAAATGAGGACAATCTCATTGCCCCAGAAAAGTTCACAGACTGTATGGAGATGGAATTCTGTATTCACTGTGAGAACAGAGAGGGGAAAATCTAGATTGTAGGCTACAGACACAAATCAACCCCCCAAAATACGAATGGCTAATCACTCTCAGTGTGTCACTGAGTTGGGAACTTTAGCCTGCATTACAACCTACCTTTATGAGTGTCAGACAAGGAGACCTCAACCCCAAACTTAAGGAGTAATTTCCTGAGTTAGAGAAACAATATATCATTATTACTATTATGTATAACAGCATATGAAAAATACAGTTGTTAGTAACCAGGTTCATGGAGACCATATCGCACACAGTGGACCAGGTCTCTAAAGAGCTGCTTTAAGATGTGGCGGAGCCTCCAGCCCTTGGCAGCTGTGTCTGTCTTCAAGGTAAGCCCCCCAGAAGAGCCGAGGTTATCTGTAAGAGAAGAGTCCATGGGAAGTATGGCGAATAGCCCTTTGTCTTTGGCCAACTCTTACACCTCACAGAACAGGCCCGACTTGGCCAAAAGACACCCCCACCCCCCATCCCAAAGGGGGCTGCCAACCACATTTCCACCAAATCCTGAAAAAAAGGAACCTTTGCAACCAGAAGTTTGCAAAGTGTCTTCTTTCTTGCTCGCCTTTGTTTTCTGCAAGTGACTGATGGATGCAGGGCAGGGAAGGCTGGCTGATAAGTCACTTCCTCCCCCAAAGGCATTTGACTCACCTCTGATTTGCCTCAAATGAGTCTGCTCAGAACCAGACAACTCCCGGCTTTTTCCTAAACTGTAATCTATTGTGGTTCTTGACTCAAGCCCCACCCACAGGCCTCACAGCCTGTGCAGGAAGCCTGGGCCTAAGGTTCTGGGAGCCTGTGGGCCAGTCCTAACCCTGTTTCTCTGTCTTAATTTGGCAAGGCCTGGAAGGAATCCTGCTCCTCTCCAGTTTCTGCTCCAGGGAAACACAGGATACAGCTCCCCAGACTCTTGGAAGCGGAGTGTGCAGCCACCATTTCCCAGAGCAGACCCACAGCCTTCCACAGAGAGTCTACCTGCAGTTCTCACCTGGCTTGACACCCACTCGGCCAAGACGTCACAGGGTATTTTCCACTTAAAAAGCTTAATTGTCCAGCAGCCACATTTCTTCCAAACTTATCCCTGAGGCTTGGTGGAGGGAACTGCAGCTGACAGCTTAACAGGAAGAAAGAAGACTCTGAGCTGTGCCCTTTTCCTCTCTGCTCCATGCCTGTGGCCACACGGTAGCATGTCACCCACACACACACTGCTAGTGGGGCCTCTCACTGGAATGGGCAGGGGAGCCAGGACAGTCTGCCCGTGAGCTCCAGCTGCATTAGGAGAGGCAGTGGCAGCTGCCCCTGCATCCCAGGGTGGATGCTCTCAGCCCACACCTGGACAGCCACCTGTGCCATTCTCATCCGACACCCGTGCCTTATTCCACCTGTGAGATGGACCTGACCTGGTGGGCCTGTGCCTCAGAAACAGCCTGCAGTTGCCCACCAGCTCCCATCAGACTGCTAGGGGTGCTTCCCAGGAGGCCCTGAGCTCACAGCTAATGCCATTGAAAAGTCTGGGGGTGGCAGGTTGTCACCCAAAGTGGACTGAGGGGCTGGAGAGGACTTGATATCTCTGCAGAGTTGCACATTGCAGGGGCTGCCTGAGCACAGGCTGAATAGGCTCAGCAGGGCTGAGCTTCCAAAGCCCCCACCAATTCTCATACTCCATGAGGATGCCCCCACTCCTGGGGTACCATGGAGTGGCCAAGGAGCAAGCTTCTCTGTAAATGAAACAGGAGGTGTGAGCCACCAGAGGACAGTAGATGAGTAGGAAAAGGGGTCTGGGAACAGTTTCCAGACCTCCTTCCAGCACCAAGAAACTTCTAAGGCAGCCAGGTATCATCACAGGACATGGGGACATGTGAACTCAGGACTGCTGCTTTTCCTAAATCTTCCTTTTTCTCTATTCAAACTCTGTGCTTCAATATTCCCAAGTAAAAGTAGCAAGAATATGAATAGCAACATTTACTAGGTACCAAGGGGGTCCAAGCACATTTACTATTAACTCATTTAATCCCAAGGGAGGCACAAGACAGCTTGGGAAGGAGAAACAGCCTGCATGTTTTCCTCGTTTTTGTTGGGAGAACTGGAGAGATGGGATCTTGAAGAAACTCACAAGGAGGATTTCCCTCTGAAAAGATACGTCTGTGCTGTGTGGAGGAACCAAGGGGGAAAAGAAGGAACAAGAGAGGATCGTGGTTTCTGGGGTGGCACAGGGGAAGACCTGGCCCATGTTCTTGGCTCCTTTGAGGAAGAGGCAGATGGAAACATGAGCACCAGTCCCCCGCCCAAGGCTGATGTGGAAGCAGGGCCAAGTGGTTGTCACACTGGATAGTGGGTGTCTCAATAGCACATGTAGACTGAGCATCAAGGGCCGTGGGACAGCCCCCAGAGCTCTCGGTCAGGCCCCAAGAATATGCCACATTCTTTACATGTGAGGAGGATTGAGCTAGTTAGGTTTCCCAACAGTCTGGCAGGGGATGGGAGTACAATCAGATATTACACTGTTACAGGAAAATTAAGTCAGTTCTCTTTCTTTCTGAGTTTTTGGACTGAGATTCACATATGTTGTGTTTTTCTTTCAATTCCCAACTTAACACTAGGTAGTTCTTCAAAAATGTTTACTGAATGAGTATAAGCACTGGAGTAGAAAAAGAATATTACAGATATGTAATAGGCCAGTGGTTCTCCACGTATGGTACTGGAACCCCTGGAGGTGTCCAAGATCCTTTCATAATAATCCAAAGACATTAAGTACTTTTTTCACTCTCATTCTCTCACAGTTGAGTTTCCACTTAAAAAGTTTTCCTCAACTGTGAGAGCTACATGATGCGTGTTATTGCAACTGATTAAATGCAGAAGCAGATATTGCAATCCACTGTCTTCTATTAAGCCAGACATTAAAACCATTTGCAAAATGTAAAATAATGCCACTTTTTAAATTAATGTTTTTTGAAAGCCACTTGACCTCTCCAGGCTCATGTACCAAATGCAGGCACTGGTCGGATGAGCTCTCAGGGCTCCGTCCTCATAGGCAGAGGCAGAGACGGAAGCTCAGTAGAGTCAAAGCGGCCCCTCTGAAATTATTGTTCCCTGAGTACACCATGGGAATGCTGCAGGATGGGTTTGCTGGCTAAAAGTAACTGCCCTAAGGCCTGGGGGTCAAAGGGCTCCTCTCAGAGCCAGAGCCAGATGATGTCAGTGCCCAGGCACCATCAGCATTCCTGGGTGGCTCAGGTCTGTGGGTGGCTGCTCGGGAATCTGCCATCCCTTTGTGCCTCCAGAGATGCCACCTCTACTCTCTAACTGAGCCCAAAATGCAGGCACACATGTGCATGCATGCACACTATATCAAATGCTGGAAGTAATATGATTTAGACTCTGATGCTCTTTCAGGGAAGCCTCGGTGGAGAAACAAAACTGACGGCCTTGCTTTCAGCCAGCCACCCCTGCCCCACGTGGCAGCCTCTGCAAGCAGAAATGCTAGGCGAGGGCAGGCTGCCCTCCCAGGGCTGTGACATCCCCCCTTTCTGGCCCGGGCCCAGCCAGTGCTGCAACCCATGCTCCTTTGTGGGTCACTTGGAAGCCTGCTCTTGAACATGGTTATAAATGCCCAATAATAAACAAACACGAGCTCTTCTGAAATGTTCCCAGGAATAGCCAACTGCCCAAATTGCCAAGGTTGTTTTTCAGATCCTGGGAAAAAAAGAAATGGAGTATGGTTTATTTTTTCCATGCCCAAAGCAGAATCATTGGTCACATAGGTCCAATTTTAGCTTTCTGGTTCCATTTTTTTGTTTGTTTGTTTGTTTCATCATCTTAGAGCCTGGGGAAAGCAGGGAGAGGGAGACGATAAGAATGAAAGAGATGGAAGAGGGAGGAAGATTCTCTTCTGTGCCCACAGCTCTGAGAACTGGTGGACAAACAGGCTCTAGGCTCTCCTATTCCTCGGCTGGCAGACAGGAGTGGGAAAGGCCTGGGATCTGGGGGAGCCACAGAGGAACAGCAGCCCCTCCCAAATCCCACAGAATCAGAAAACAAAGAGAAAGCTGGGAGAAAAGAGAGACCCCACTTAAGACTGGTGGCTGAGGCCTCAGGAAAGGAGGCTGGGGAGAGCAAGGGGGTGTGGGATTACACCCCCTCTCACAGAGCCCAGGCTGCTGGTGGTAGCTCTCTGCCACTCCGCACCATCACAGTGGGATGAGTTCCCACAAATACCATCCACAGACCCAGCCCCCAGTCCCTCCCCCACAGGATGTGGGCCACCACTCTGTCCTTACCTACCAGGCTACAAGATTCAGGCACTTCAGCCCAGTCATTGCTGAAACACAGGGACCTGTTCTCTGTGCCTGGTGACAAGGGGTCCTTTAGTGAGTCCAGTGAAACAGCATCATGCGCCTGTGTATCTCAGATGGAGAACAACCCCACACAACAAAATTCCTCCTGGACCAGGTCCTCAGATGTCAGTGTGAGGACCCTGGACCCCTAACCGAGCCAGAACCTACACCAGCCACCCAGGAAGTTGGGCCTGGAATCCTGGAAGCAGTCCAGCATCACCTGAAGTACTTCAATTGTTCCTAACCTGCTCCCCAGACCCCTTCCATCTTCTTCAAATGTGGAACATGGGGGTGAAACTCCCTAACTTCAGCTGCTGGCACTTTGTGGATTGACCTTTGTTTTGGATTCCTGGCCTCCGTTTCCCCCACAGGATCTTACTGGACTTGCCCTTCATTTCTCCATGCACTCTGCCAATCCAGCCCTAAGCAAGCAAGCCCGCAGACCACCTCCACCCTGGGAGCACAGGGCTCATACACCCATTCATACTAGTCTCTAAGCGCCAACCATGCTGTTTACCGCCTCATCCCAACACAAATGGAACACCTGGGGATGGACACAGGAGGTGTCTGTGAAGTCAGCACACCTTTCTTCCCACCTTCCCAGGGAAGTGAAACAACTTCAACAGATATGACTCCAGGAGCTAGGACCCTTGGAGGAGACCAGATAAAGAGGGTTTAAATACTGAAATGTGAAAGCCCTTCTGTGGATAAAATTAAGGTTCTGTGGCCAGGATTCTCACCTGGCCCTGGCTGGCTAGCTCACTACACATGTGTGTGCAATATCTTGTTATTGACTCTACGTAAAGAGCTCCACCCACTGTCCTATGTGACGCAGTGGCACAGCTGCAAGGCTGCAGGAGAGCAGAGCAGAGCATGGAGGGGTGGTAGGGCTGAGAACAGGGGCCCGGAGGATGGCTGTGTAGGCAGAGAGGCCCAGAGGCAGAGACCAGTTTGCTGCCTGAAGCCTTGCTCTGAGTGGATGAGATTTTAGTGATTGACCTGCCACCTTGGAAATAAAGTTGGATATAACCCTTTCACCCCAAGACCGTTCTACTGTCATTTCTTTGGTCACGTTGAATCCATAGTGAACTTGCCTGGGGCTGAAATCCATTGGCAAGACACCTTTCCATGATTGCATGAGTCAATTTTCTCCCTTCATTGGGTTCTATTTTTTACAGGGCACTTTTCAAGGTCCTAAATTTGCTCAAGAGATTTGCTGATGCTGTTGAGACTGGAATTCAAAGGGAAAGCACAGATGACAGACAGAGAAAATCCACCTCTGACTGCCCCCTGGCCACCTTCCAGAGGTCGTGACTGCCTCATTCTTGACAGGGCCCAAGTGAGTTCTCTTCTTCTGCCCAGACATATGCCTTCCCATCTCCCTGTCTCTGAAGACAACAGAAACTACCATGTGTTACCCAGGTCCAACCCAGGAGTCACCGTAGACTCCTCCCTTGTCCTTGTTTGATTTTACCCCTTAACCAAAAGGCAAAATCTCTCAGAGCAAGTTAGAGGTCTCAGGACTTTCCTTGGCCCCAAACAGTTAAGTGCGGCCTGGGGTGTAAATGCGGATCCCACCAGCGTTTGGACAGGAAAAGAACTCAGAGGCTGCTTTTCTTCTCCAAGGCCAATCCCAGTGGAGTCGTCGGGGTTTTAAAACCAAATGTCTTTACAGCTTGAAATGAATAACCATGACCTCAGCCATTACACACGCAACCCCTGCTGCTATACATTTAGCATCAGGCGCTCCAGGCGTCCTCTAAATAACCCACGTCTGTGGGGCACATGCGGGGAGGGAGAGCTGCCATCAGAACCGGTTTGAGTTGGAAGGCCAGAGACTACAGCCCTGTGAAGGGTACAGTCATCTGTTAGTGATTTCCCACTCACATTAAAGCCAGATGCTGGATCCCTTTGCCTGGTTGCAGACTGTCATAAGAGATTTATCTTTATAGCTTGGACTCGGGTCTCTGAACCACATCAATTTCAGACCTTTGTGTTACCATGGCAGGTGTGACATGAAATGAGGACAATCTCATTGCCCCAGAAAAGTTCACAGACTGTATGGAGATGGAATTCTGTATTCACTGTGAGAACAGAGAGGGGAAAATCTAGATTGTAGGCTACAGACACAAATCAACCCCCCAAAATACGAATGGCTAATCACTCTCAGTGTGTCACTGAGTTGGGAACTTTAGCCTGCATTACAACCTACCTTTATGAGTGTCAGACAAGGAGACCTCAACCCCAAACTTAAGGAGTAATTTCCTGAGTTAGAGAAACAATATATCATTATTACTATTATGTATAACAGCATATGAAAAATACAGTTGTTAGTAACCAGGTTCATGGAGACCATATCGCACACAGTGGACCAGGTCTCTAAAGAGCTGCTTTAAGATGTGGCGGAGCCTCCAGCCCTTGGCAGCTGTGTCTGTCTTCAAGGTAAGCCCCCCAGAAGAGCCGAGGTTATCTGTAAGAGAAGAGTCCATGGGAAGTATGGCGAATAGCCCTTTGTCTTTGGCCAACTCTTACACCTCACAGAACAGGCCCGACTTGGCCAAAAGACACCCCCACCCCCCATCCCAAAGGGGGCTGCCAACCACATTTCCACCAAATCCTGAAAAAAAGGAACCTTTGCAACCAGAAGTTTGCAAAGTGTCTTCTTTCTTGCTCGCCTTTGTTTTCTGCAAGTGACTGATGGATGCAGGGCAGGGAAGGCTGGCTGATAAGTCACTTCCTCCCCCAAAGGCATTTGACTCACCTCTGATTTGCCTCAAATGAGTCTGCTCAGAACCAGACAACTCCCGGCTTTTTCCTAAACTGTAATCTATTGTGGTTCTTGACTCAAGCCCCACCCACAGGCCTCACAGCCTGTGCAGGAAGCCTGGGCCTAAGGTTCTGGGAGCCTGTGGGCCAGTCCTAACCCTGTTTCTCTGTCTTAATTTGGCAAGGCCTGGAAGGAATCCTGCTCCTCTCCAGTTTCTGCTCCAGGGAAACACAGGATACAGCTCCCCAGACTCTTGGAAGCGGAGTGTGCAGCCACCATTTCCCAGAGCAGACCCACAGCCTTCCACAGAGAGTCTACCTGCAGTTCTCACCTGGCTTGACACCCACTCGGCCAAGACGTCACAGGGTATTTTCCACTTAAAAAGCTTAATTGTCCAGCAGCCACATTTCTTCCAAACTTATCCCTGAGGCTTGGTGGAGGGAACTGCAGCTGACAGCTTAACAGGAAGAAAGAAGACTCTGAGCTGTGCCCTTTTCCTCTCTGCTCCATGCCTGTGGCCACACGGTAGCATGTCACCCACACACACACTGCTAGTGGGGCCTCTCACTGGAATGGGCAGGGGAGCCAGGACAGTCTGCCCGTGAGCTCCAGCTGCATTAGGAGAGGCAGTGGCAGCTGCCCCTGCATCCCAGGGTGGATGCTCTCAGCCCACACCTGGACAGCCACCTGTGCCATTCTCATCCGACACCCGTGCCTTATTCCACCTGTGAGATGGACCTGACCTGGTGGGCCTGTGCCTCAGAAACAGCCTGCAGTTGCCCACCAGCTCCCATCAGACTGCTAGGGGTGCTTCCCAGGAGGCCCTGAGCTCACAGCTAATGCCATTGAAAAGTCTGGGGGTGGCAGGTTGTCACCCAAAGTGGACTGAGGGGCTGGAGAGGACTTGATATCTCTGCAGAGTTGCACATTGCAGGGGCTGCCTGAGCACAGGCTGAATAGGCTCAGCAGGGCTGAGCTTCCAAAGCCCCCACCAATTCTCATACTCCATGAGGATGCCCCCACTCCTGGGGTACCATGGAGTGGCCAAGGAGCAAGCTTCTCTGTAAATGAAACAGGAGGTGTGAGCCACCAGAGGACAGTAGATGAGTAGGAAAAGGGGTCTGGGAACAGTTTCCAGACCTCCTTCCAGCACCAAGAAACTTCTAAGGCAGCCAGGTATCATCACAGGACATGGGGACATGTGAACTCAGGACTGCTGCTTTTCCTAAATCTTCCTTTTTCTCTATTCAAACTCTGTGCTTCAATATTCCCAAGTAAAAGTAGCAAGAATATGAATAGCAACATTTACTAGGTACCAAGGGGGTCCAAGCACATTTACTATTAACTCATTTAATCCCAAGGGAGGCACAAGACAGCTTGGGAAGGAGAAACAGCCTGCATGTTTTCCTCGTTTTTGTTGGGAGAACTGGAGAGATGGGATCTTGAAGAAACTCACAAGGAGGATTTCCCTCTGAAAAGATACGTCTGTGCTGTGTGGAGGAACCAAGGGGGAAAAGAAGGAACAAGAGAGGATCGTGGTTTCTGGGGTGGCACAGGGGAAGACCTGGCCCATGTTCTTGGCTCCTTTGAGGAAGAGGCAGATGGAAACATGAGCACCAGTCCCCCGCCCAAGGCTGATGTGGAAGCAGGGCCAAGTGGTTGTCACACTGGATAGTGGGTGTCTCAATAGC